TGTATTTTCAAATTCTAGCGCACTCGAGCTGGTTTCTCCAAAATTACGTACCCCACCTTTAAGCGGGCAAGTAAAAGTACTGCATTCAAAATCTTTAATTAAAAGTACAAACGTTTTATCAGCAAAATGAACTTAAATCATAAAAAGTAAAAGTAATAGTTGTGCAGAGTTACATAAATGACCTTTATGTGTGTATATCATTATATTTGTACATGACATTTTCAGATAATATTGTTGCATCACGTAGAATTTGACTAAAAACGAAGTTCTGGTTGACTTTTTGTTAAATATGTATATAATTTGACTCTCTTTAAGAGATGCATTTTGTTATAAGAAGATAAAGCTGTTAAATGAATGCAGTGGAGACAAATTACATTATTTCCATTTTAAATGTGGTGGAATAGAAGTATAAAGTAGCATTAAATGGCAATACTTAATATATTACGAGTACCTCAACATTTTATTCAAGTACAGTACTTGAGTAAATGTACTTCGTTACTTCCCACCTCTGGTCCTTTAATTGCATAGTTTGTGCAAACAAATCAATATATAAAGCATTATATTTTTAAGCTAATAGTTTCAATAGAATTTTTTATTTTTTAGGGTCAGAAGGACATTACTGAAATGTAAACCCCCTCTTAGCATCGCAGTAACTTGTCCCACATTGTCCCACACAAACTCTTTGCCCACATGTGTCCTGTTGGCATTTTATTCCCCCATCACGTCTCAAAACACATCACTTCACACTGGCTTATCCACCCTGATCATATCACTCGTCCTCTGTTTTTATGATTATATTGTGTTGTTTTTGTGCTAATTTGTTTTGTTTGGTGTTTTGTGTAGATTGTCGGCAACCTTGAGAGCCTTGAAAGGCGGCTTTCTAAATAAAGTTTATTATTATTATGAATATGTCCACTGGTAGGAGCACACATGTACTATACCTGTATAAGGAGGGTACATCTCCTGAGGAACGTGGAGGACCACCAGCTCGCCTTGCTCCAGCTCCAAGGCAAATGCAGTTTTGATCTCAGTCGCTGTGCTGACTCTCCAGCTGACATCGAAGTCTGCTAGCAGCACCACCACCACCATGGAAGAGCGCTCTTCAGGAGAAGACTGGGAGAAGAGGGACTGCAGGGTGGGGATGAGATAGCTTCCCTTTGCCCTCTTCACAGAGGACAGTCCTACTGATAAAAACCCTGAGACATGTCGGGAAGCAACAGTGAGATAGGTGGGTTTTGTATCAATGAAGAACATCAATCTAAAGGCTGTGCATTGTAAACCCAGTTGTAATATTGAATCATGTTTCACCATGCACAAGGCTAAAAGTTCAAAGGACTTGAATTTAATCTTTTGAAAAAAGCGCTTTCTATTTGAGGCTGGAAAGAAGTGAAAGAAGTCCATGCGTTAAACTAGGATGAGGTGATTTACATAGATACAGCAGCAGTGTTTTCAAGCATTATACAAGTTACACATATTTGTAAAGCAATTAATATATATATATATAAAAACTCATAATAGAAAGGACATATATCACTAAAGTATCTTAATAATGCACAATATAAAGAAAATATTGAATAAATGGAATACAATGTAAAAAAATATACAATCTCACTAAGCTACATACATATAGAAATATACTACAGACACATATTGGCATTGGATACATTACAATTATAACATGCATGCAACTTGATCCCTACTAATGAATCTATTTGGCATATCTCTATTACCAAATTTTTTTAGAACCTTAGATGCAACATCCTGAAGTAAATAGCTACTGTGAGCGTGGTTTTGTATTTCACCCAACAAACTTCCATGTGAAATGCAAAACAGTGTTTGTGTAACCTGATCTGCCTGAATTCGGCTGTGTGCTTGGTATGTGACCGTGATGTTGTTCCTTTATAGCAAAACGTTATCTTTTTACTTCTAGCTTTTGCATTCAAGCTTTAAAATACAAAACTAGTGTTAATATGTGGAGATATTTAAGTATCATAAACGTGTTTGTGCCATACATTTATTTTCTGCCATTCTTTTGAAAACCAATGTAAAATTCCCATTGGATTTTGTGAAGGGCACGATGGTAACCTTCACGAATACATCATCAATGCACCGTGATTGTGATATATGCAATGTGAAGGGATGTGTACAAAAATGCATTCCATATTTCTCTCTGTCAGATCTAAGGCAGTTTAGCACGCCTAGAAAGCGTAACGATGATTTGGAAACCATTTTTATTTTCAATTCTTTCAATAGTCTTTTGTTTTCAAAAAGACGGCAGGTTGGAACCAACTTTTGTTCACAGTTAATGAAAATTGCATCACTTTAACTTTATATGAACAAAAAGGGTCCGACATTATGATACTCACTCTGTTGAGTAGATGGTGCTCCAGCCAGCAGCTGGTAGGACACATTGAGAGGGAGGTAATTCCCCTGCTCCACCCAGGACTCCTTACTAACCAGCCTCTGCACACTCCATGTTAACTCATTTGTAATCACCTTCTGTGACTGGCCCTGCAAAACAAATACAAGCATGTTTGATTAGAATCTGCATACATGACCTCCCCTGCCTTGTGATCAAGCGTTATGACACGGTTTCATTACAGTGAAGGGCATGAAACAGAGATCAACCTCGGATGTTTTGCTCTTTGTAAAACAACAGCAGAACAGCTGAGGTTTTCTTTAAGCCACACCTTCAAGTCTCATTATAAAATAGGGTGTGTGTACTTACAGCAATAAGGAAGTTGGATTGGCTCATGTAGTACAATCCTCCGACAAGAAGCAGCACTGCCAAAATGTTTTTCCAAAAAATACGCATTTCCTGTTGTGTGTACAAGCACACACAAACAAAAACACACACACACAGGATACTTGGTTACGCTGGTGTGTAACTCAGTCAGCACCACAGTAAATAATTCAGCTAACAGTTAATGAATGTTTTAGAAGGCTCAGAAACAGCAACAAATCATTCTGAACCTAAAACCAGCAGCTCTGCTGTGTGTTGCTTTAGAGCCTCATTTACAACATCATCAGTAAAATGAGTATCAGTATTGTTACGACCCTGGGTCGTTATGTCATTTGTGTGCAGATAATTTTCCTTCCTGTGTCTGTGTGGGTGAGCAAGCAGGTGGTGCCTGTTAGCTGATTAGCTACCTTCAACCTGCTGATTGGTCCACCTGAAGAAGAGGGGAGCATTTAAGCTGCAGCCATGCAGTCCCTCTGCCCTCTCTCTGACTTCTCCTACTCCCAACACTGTTGCGTATTTAAATTTATATCTGTGCTGTGTGCATACTTATACCGTACACCGGTACTCTTGCTTGTTTTGAAACTTCAGAAATAGAAACTACGTTAACCTGTCCTTGTGGATGCTTTAATTTGTGTGTAAGTGTGAAACCCTTTCCTTTTGGTTGATTCTTGTTTTCTCCTGTTTATACGTCAGAGTAGGTAAGAACCCTGTATGTTTATTTTTCTTATTTGTTTGGCAATATTTATGTGTTCAGAGATTAGTTTGTTTTGTGGGTTGTTGCGCCGCTTTGTAAAACCTTTGGAAATTAAAATGACCAAAGGGCATTCTCTGTCTCGGGGTCCATGTTCTTGGGAGTGGGGAGAGTGTAAATGTTGCGCTGCGCCTAGGTTCCCATAGACCTGGGCGTAACAGTATAACAAGGGATGTTTTATAGTAATACTATATGTTAGGGAAATATTTCCCTAGGCACATCACTTTGACCCAGTTTATCAGTCTGTACTGCACTCACTGAGCAGCTTTAACCTTTGGTGCTGTGCTCTCAGGGTTTTGTCTCCCTGTTCCTGCCTGTTGGGCGTCAGCTGATGATTGAGGTTATACTTTTTTAACTTGTCATGCAAAAGGTTGATCATTCTCTCAGATAAATACATGGGCCTAGGGAAATATGTCCCCAACACAATATCATTAGACAATGCTTATACACAAAATATACTTTTTTGACTATCACAATACGGCCCCTCCTTTGTTTTAAATGCATTATTTGTCAATTGATATGTTCTTTGTAATGTGGTGTTTAATTTGCCCTTTGTAATGCACTGTTACTGGTGAGTTTTATTATAAGTGTTACTATTATTACTATGCTGCTGTGTGTATTCTATATTTTGTAACTCTGGCAAAAGAATTTCCTTCGAGATAAATAAAGTCTTAGCCTCTTATTTTTCAAAAGTGACTGCTGTGTCTTTTACTTTCTAGGTTAGATATAAACATATTTCTAGGTTTACATTACTTAATCACAGCATACAGTGGAGTTTTTTTTTTTTAAATGTACAGATGTTATTTACAGTCATTTTTGTATATGAGATGTTAATCTGTCAACTGTAACTCACCAGCAGTATTTTGTACTGTAGTTGCCATAAATGGCCAACAATGCGCGTAGTGTCAAATAAAGTCTACTTGAGCTACTATCTAATAACCTCTTGGGGCAACACAAACTATTAAAAAAGATCTACACAAACGTGTGTTATGTACTTTTTGCAGTTTTGATTCCCTATTTCCACCGTTGTTCACTTTGTGTTTCCTTGTATCTTCTCTCGTTGCATTTGGATTATGGCTCTGTTGCCAAAATAAAGTTTAAGAGACAAAAGAGGTAGGGTGTTTATAGTAAGTGTACGGGGAAGCAGAGGAACTGTAAATCTAAAGATAATTCACTGGAAGGTCACCCTTCGATTTATATTTAGCAAAGACAGGCAGCTCCCCCCTGCTCTGTTCCAACTCACTGGCAGACATGGATTACATTATAGTGCAGTGATCGAGGTAACATGTCTTAATGTCTTTAATGTCTGTCCAACAATGGGAACAGGACTTTATTCAGGTTCAAACTATATTTGTTTTAATCCAATTTACCTAGCTTCTATTGCCGTCATAAACTACAATCAGACCTCTTTCTTTAATTATATTCATCTACTTCAAATTGAAAACAATACTTACAGCAGAGTGGATATTAAATCGTGTTGCCTAAACATGATAGACAGGACAGGTGTGCCTGTGTGAGTTGAAGGGCAGAAGAGTTCTTTTTTTGCGCAATATATATCTATAATAAAGCAACCAAATAATACTGTATTCTGAAGGGACGTTTTAAAGCGATGGCCCGGATATGACCACAGGCTGTTTCAGTGACAGTAAGTTACATTAGGAACTTTTGTGGAGTTATGAAATGCGTGTGCTGGTTATAACAGAGAAAACCATGTTCATTCTCTACATGAATAGGCTTATTTTTTTACCTACGTTTCAACTGCGAACTGAGCCAACTACGTTAACTACGCCAGCATCATTACGTTTAACACTAATCACATACAGCAGCCTCGCGACAGTATAAACAGTAGGCTATGTATCGATAATGCAATATCGGCTAATAAACATAAAGGGAAGCACGTACGACTTTCCATAAAGTAGCAACATAAACAAAGACAGCTTAATATATTACGCTAACAACATAATATAAGTGTCCGCTACGAGCAGTTACGGAAACATTTCTGTTGATATAGAAACTTCTCTCCATGACGCCACTCACCGTCCGCTGGTCCTGCTCCTTGAAATGTCACTTGTAATGGGACGGCAGCATAGGCGGCGCGTGAGGCTCAGGTTTGGGAAGGCTAAATAACTTGTTTTACCTGACGCTGCCTGCCTCCGGCGTCTATAGAAAAGAGATCCACTCAGTGAAAGCACCGCCTGATCAGAGACAACGGCTCAGTGTGCGGAGTTTATATCTATTAAGCAGGGACGTGCACACATAGACTGTCGGTAGTGCTTGAGCACCTGCCCGTTTTGCCCTCTGGACAGCAATGTGCCCTTTTGAAAGTTCGTTTTTTACAGTTTTTTTTTTCTTTCTTTTTACAGTGTACTGTATGTGGCTCATGGTAACATCGATCAATTCTGGATTAAAAGCTTCTAATATATACAACAATGCCCCAAATGCGCGTTGTAATTTTGTCAGACATCCCCACACGTGCCCCGCGGCACTCCCGTACGTGCACTGGCTCCAGCCCCTCCCTTCCCTGCTCTCAACGTTAACGCGCAGCGCGCAGAGTAGACAGTCAGTCACTCAGTCAGACAGGCCAGGGCGGGTGTGTGGTGCAGCAGCACGCAGCAACACGATTAAAAGTGCCCTAGTGACGACCAAGTAAGTAACCACCAGGTAACAAATACGAGTGTATTGTTTAATCCCCTAAATCAGATGCCAAACTAAACTATAACTTCACTTCTTTTCTTGCATCCATCCATTTAGTCTCGTTGTGCACGTTGCAATTACGACATACAAG